CGGGCAGTGCCAGGACAACCGGCTACTAAAGCATTTACTTGCCAGGTGTGGTGGTGCATGGCTGTAATCCTAGTACTCAGGAGGCTGAGGCAGGAGGATCGCCACGAATTTAAGGCCAGCCTCAGCTACATTGTGAGACCCTGGCTCAAAAGACCAACAAACCAACAAACAAAAAAAACCCCAAAAATCGTCTACTTGTGTGTTGTTTTTTTTTTGGTACCGGGGATTGAACTCGGCTCCTTGCACTTGCAGGCAGGCCCCCTAACCGCTGAGCTAAATCCCCAGCTGTGTTTTGTTTTATTTGTAATGTGCCAGTAATCTTTGTTCATGACAGAAAAATTAGAAACTGCTGTGGCACACGCCTATAATCCTGATACTCTAGGAGGCTGAGGCAGGAGAACCAAGAGTTTGAGCCCAGCCTTGGCAATTTAGCAATTGATGAGGTCCTCTCTCAAAATTAAAAAAAAAAAAAATTTTTTTTTAAAAGTGCTGGAGGAGTAGCTCACTGTAAAGGTCTTAGGTTCAATCCCCAGTACTGGAAAGAGAAAAAAAAAAAAAAGAAAAGAAAAAAAGGAAATTATATGCTGGGCATGGTGGCACACGCCTGTAATCCCAGCACTCGGGAGGCTGAGACAGGAGGATCGCTGTGAGTTCGACACCAGCCTGGGCTACATAGTGAGTTCCAGGTCAGTCTCAACTACACAGTGAGACCCTGTCTCAAAACACAAAAATAAGTAAATAAAAAATATTGATAAAATATTTGCACAAGGTTTCCTGATGGTTGCTTTTGGTAGCATGTACACATACCAAGAGCATACAGATATATATAGAGAGGGTTTGTTTTTGCAGTGTTGGTGATCGGATCTTCACACTGAGCTACACCCAGCCCGTTTACATTTCCTTTACAGACAGGGTCTCATTAACTTGCTGGGTTGCCCAGGCTGGGCTTGAACTCCTGATCTCCTGCCTTGGCTCCAGTGTGCTGGGATTCAGGCCTGGCCCCGGAGCAATGAGTACTTAGCTCCGCTCCTGCCTGGTGCTCTAACAGCTGCCCGGGTTGTGCGCAGACAGCGCCTCTGTCCCTCCTGTCCGGGGCAGTGTGGCGGTTCAGTGCCCCTGCCCCCGTGTGCCTGTATCCGTCTCCTCTGGGCAGGACGTCAGTCATGCTGCGAGGAACCCGCTGATGACCTCATTTTAACTCGAGTTGTTCCTTGGAGATCTTGTGTTCAAGGTTGGTCACGTTCTCAGAGACTGGGGACAGGGCTTCAACTAGGATCTGGGGAGGGGACCGGGAAAGAGACAAAACTAAGCCCAGAGCTGTAGCTGGTGTGTTTAAAAGTCCTAGCTGGGCCAGGTGGTGCACGAATGTGATCCCAGCGCTTGGGAGGCTGAGGGAGGAGGGTCTCCATGAATTCAAGGCCGGCCTGAACTGCGCACCTTTATCCCTCCAAAAACTAGAGAGAGCCGGGTGCGGGGGTCGCCCCCGAAGGGTGTCAGGGGAGAGGACTTGTGCAGAAGTTGTGGTGGTGACCTGGCTCAGCCCACTAGTGACTGCTCCGTGGGGACTGGAGCGGGGTCTCCACATGATCCCTCCGGTGCGGGTCAGGGCCGGATGCCACCCCTGAGCTGTGTGGGAGCCGGGGGGCGCGTGGGTGTCTGGGTGGAACCTGGGCTGGGACCCCGTCAGCTGGGGACCCCGTTCATCCCGCCCCCACCCCCGTGTGTGCTTAGCGCTGTCACCGTGCCCCTTGGCCTGCTTGTGTCCCCGCCCAGCAGGGGCCGCAGGGGCCTTGGGCAGAGGCCTCCGGGGAGAACAGAGCAGGGCCACCGGCCACATTCAGGGCGGGAGGACAGGCGCCAGGGGCTCTGAGGGCCGCCGCCACCCCCACCAGGGCATCGTTCATCCCGCCCCCACCCCCGTGTGTGCTTAGCGCTGTCACCGTGCCCCTTGGCCTGCTTGTGTCCCCGCCCAGCAGGGGCCGCAGGGGCCTTGGGCAGAGGCCTCCGGGGAGAACAGAGCAGGGCCACCGGCCACATTCAGGGCGGGAGGACAGGCGCCAGGGGCTCTGAGGGCCGCCGCCACCCCCACCAGGGCATATCGCGCGTTCCAGGGCAGCCTGGGCGACAGAGCGAGGCCCTGGCTCAGAAACAGAAATACCCAAGGAGGCACGGGGAGATGGGCTGTGTCTGTGTTGAGCGCGCGCTGTCCTTTCCCGTCCACATGCGTCCCTCGGGGTTCTGCGCCACCAGAGACTTGCTTCTGGGTCCCGGGTCCTGGCCGAGGGGTGACTCGCCCTCTTCTTCCCATCACGGAGGAATCGCTGTGTCCCTGCCCCTCCGCTCCTCCACTTTGTCCTTAGCGCTGTTTCTGGTCCTGCAGCCCGAGTGAATTTCCAAAGGCCAGAGCCGCACTTCCCCCGCCCCGCCCCTGGCCTTAGTTTTGTCCCCTTTGCCGCTGCTCCTTGGGGATGGTCTCAGCCCCCGGGGTCACTCAGGTGGTGATCGCTAATGGATTTATGGGTTCAGCCAGTCCCTCTTCTACAAACATTGATTTACAGCCCACAGAGAGAGCTGGGAGTCACCGACATCCTTGCTCCAAATGGCAGCAGATTCCGTGAGAGCCACCCAACGCCCGCGAGGACTCTGACAGTCGAAAGCCACCGGGAACAGGTTGGGCCGCCTTGGGATCACCTTGAGCAGGGCCAGCCCAGGCCTGGGAATGGGCCGGAGACATGTGTGTCACTGTTTGCTCAGCCTGGGTTGGAGCTGCGCCTTCCTTCCAGGGATTTTCCAGGGCCCTGGGCTATGACCCCGACCTGTCCTATAGACCTCTTAGAGGTGCCTCAGAGGAGGGTGACGGCACATGCACGCCTGAGAGTGCCACACTCAGGAGGCTGAGCCAGGAGGATCGCTGCTAGCTCTAGGCCAGCCTGGGCAACACAGCGATGTCACGTCTCAACAAACAACAACAACAACAATAAACACAAAATAAACCAGAAGCACCTGAAGCCTCTGCTTTGCTGCTGTTCTGGCCTCTAAGTGGCTGTGTGGCCCTGGGGAAGACGCCAGAAACCACACTGAGTGGAGAGAGAGGCACCTAAGGGCTCCTTGCGGCCCTGCGGCAAAGTGAGAGACCAGCAGGAAAATGTATGGCAACAAATGTAAGCGCACCTTCACTTGGAGTTCGGAGGCCTAGTCAATGATTACATATTTTTATTGTTTGCCGGAGTAAGGGAGAAGGGAAGAGAAGGAGGAGGCGGGGGAGAGACAGCGAGAGAGAGCGAGAGAGGCTTGATTTCTTGATCCCCAACCCTGGATTTTAAGGTCTGCCAGGGTTTTGTGTTTGTGGGGACATTGGGGCTGGGCCGGGTGACAGGGAGGCGACAGCCCTGCCAGCCCTCTCCCAGCCTCCAGATGACAAAGGTTGCATTTACACCTGGCCCAGGGTTTAATCATCTACCATTTCCAAACACAGCAGGCTAACAACCTGTTGGCTGAGGATCATAAATTTAGAAAGTTCACCCACAGGAGACGGCCCGGGAAGGGAAGAAACAGGTCGGTGTCTTTGCTCCAGAGTGTGGGAGAGGCTGGAGCAGGCAGTGCGGTCTTGCCGGGACCAGGGCTGACTTGCTTGCTTTGTGTTTTGAGACAGGGTCTCCCAGTGTAGCCCGGCCTGGTCTCGACGTCCCCACGGAGCCCAGGCTGGGACCCCCAGCAGGTGCCGCCTTGCCCAGACTTTCCCTCCTGCTTTTCCCGTTGGTTTGATCCGCTCAGAGGCCCAGAGCCCCCTGCAGGTTAGGGTCTTCATCGTGAAGGTTTTATTGCAGAGGGAAGATCAAGCATGACATGTGCGCTCCGTGGGGGCCGCTGCAGTGAGAGCAGGGCCGGCAGACGTGGGACCGGTTCCTCCGCCCTCGGTCTCCGCGGGGCGCCCAGGTGACAGCTGGGACTCGCCGGAAGTTTCCTGCGCCCTCCTGGCTTCCCAGCCCTTCGTAAGCCTTGGCTCCGGCAGCCGTGATGTCGATGGCGCACGCCTGCCCACTTCCGACAGGGGAAGGGCGGGTCCCACGGGTCCACTTTCCTGCCTCCGTGCAATGTCGCACACACGTGCTGTCCCCTGGCGCCCTGTGCCTGAGCCTGTGCTGGGCCAGCAAGAAAGGCGGACGGGGGTGAGGGCAGATTATAAAAGGCCTTGCCTACCTGCGGGGGAGGGGAGTCCGCACAGCAGCGGACCACATCTTGAGCGCCTAGCGTTTGTGGATTTTAGCCCGGACCAAACATTCAGGGAGGCTGCCGGCGTCGGTAATTCCTTTGAGCCACGGTTATATTGAATTACATCACATCTTTAATCAAGGCCACTGGAAAACTACACAGAACATTTGTTCCACATGGCATGGGAAAGTTGAAAAGCCCTGCAGAAACGTGCCGGTGCCCCCACCCCTTCCTCTTTGTCCTGCGTTAATACGACATCCTGAAGTCACAGCCCCTTGGCCACCAGGAAGTGGAGCAGAGGATGAAGTCAGAGGGCACCAGGTGCGCCGCCCTCTCCAGGGCTGGGGTCGGGGTTCCCCGAGTGTGACCTTGGGAGAGGCTCTAGGTGGTTCTGCTCTTGCTTACCTGGGCAAGCGGTGAGGCACTGGTGCTGACAGGTGGACGGCCGGAACCCAGGTGTCGGAGGGGTGCCGATGTCACCACTCTGGGTGGCACCCGGGGCTGGGGGTGGCACTTTTCTGTTTGCTGTCACCACAAAGCCAAGACCTCTCAAACCCAGCCCCTCACCTGGTCCGGGGAAGGTGAGCCAGGGTGGCAGGCTTTCCTCGACCTGTGGGTGTTCCGGGTTTTGTTGGCTGTGTTTTCTGGATACTTGGCAAGTTAGAAAAGGTCTGTGAAATTCCAGTGCACAGGCCTGTCATCCCAGCCCCCAGGAGGCTGAGGCAGGAGGATCGTTGAGCTCAAGGCCAGCCTGGGCTCCACCGTGAGGCCCTGTCCCCCAACTCCCCCGAAAAACTCTTCCCTAATGCTGGAAAATAAAGCTGCTGGCTTTAGTATATCCCTCTTTTAGCTATAATTCCGTTAGCACCTGACAATTCTTTTTCATTCATTTGGAAGACATGTTGGCTATTTTTTAAGGAGAAAAGACAAAAATAGCTCCAAAGATCCAAACCTTTGTTAAAAGGTCTATGTCGTCATCATAGAATCTTCTTTGATTTGTTCTAAGCCTCAGAAAGGTAAAGTCTGAAGCCTACGTGGCGTTCATGGTGGCTTTCATGGAATTTAGAAAAAGCGAACCAGACTCCTCGGAAAATATGTTTGGGATTTTCCTCAGAACCCTGTGTCTTCTCCAAACGGGTGCTGGAAGCCCTCGGATTAGGCCGCAGCCCTCCTGCTCCTGGCCTCTGTCAGATGTGCGCGGGGGCTGGCCACCCACAGCTCGGGCTCTGTAAATAGTGAAATCCTCCCTTTGAGCGTGTCCTGCTTGCTATCTCAGGGCGGCGACCACATCACAGGGACATCGCAGCCCGCCGGAGCCTGGGGAGGGGCTGGGGGCTGCAGGCCAGGACAGTGGGGGACGATGGTGCCCAGAGCCTGGATTCCAGCCTTGCACACAGGGCAGCCGGGCCGCTCACTCGCGAGGCTGCATCTCCAGCTTCCCTTGTGCCCTGAGGTGGAAGGGGAGGGGAGGAGCTCAGTGAGATGTGTGTGCGCATGTTCGTGTGTCTCCTCGCGTGATTTACTTCTTTTTAGTTATTATTATTATTATTTTTTGTTTTTGTTTTTTGAGACAGGGTCTCACTATGTAGTTGAGACTGACCTGGAACTCACTGTGTAGCCCAGGCTGGTCTCGAACTCACAGCCATCCTCCTGCCTCAGCCTTCCGAGCGCTGGGATTACAGGCGTGCGCCACCACGCCCGGCATGATTTACTTTGTGTGTTTGTTTTGTGAGGCAGGGTCTTGCTTTGTGTTCCAGGCTGGGCTCGAACTCACTGTGTAGCCCAGGCTGGACTGGAAATCATGAGATCCTTCTGTCTCAGCCTCCCGAGGGTTGGGATCAGACTTGTGCTACTCTGTCCGACTTTCTTCTTTTCCTTAGTGCATGTTTGCAGCACATGATGATAGCGCTCATTATAGGGAGCTGGAACACATATGCAGCGCGTCGGAATTCTCTCTCTCCGGCAGGGTGGGCTTTCATAGGTGACTCACAGAGAGACAGTTGGTGATTCCCTGTCCCCGGTGTGCACACACCCATTTTCAGTACGGCTCTGCTGTGTTTTCCAGTAGAGGCAGAACCTGGAGTTTGCCCACACTTTGAGGAGATTTGGGGATAGAGCATGGAAAACCCTTCAGGCGGTCGTTTTACCTTAGGTTTCTTTTCTCCAGACTCTCAGCTCCTAACCTGGTTATTTTCCCAGTTTTCTGCACCTGCAGCATCCTCTGAAAATCGCTTCTAACGCTTCACTGCTAATGTAGATTCAGGGTAGGTGGCGCACGCCTCCTAGCACTGGGAGGCTGAGGCAGGAGGATCGCCATGAGTTCAAGGCCAGCCTGGGCTACACAGTGAGTTCAAGTTTCAAGGCCAGCACTATAGCCAGATTAAAGAACTTGTGCTTTTAGCTTCTAGAAACGCTCATAATTCTGCCGATAATTACACTTCAGTGGCAGAGGACCAGACAAGCAGTCCCTGTTCATATCAGAACAGGAAGGGCTGGATGCACAGGCCCGCCACTGGCCACGGCCCACCTGTAGGCAGCGGGGCTGGGCGACATTTTCAGTCCTCTCCTCTGAGCCTGGGGACTTTGCCTCCATGTGCCAGGCCGTGGTTCCATCTTGCTCCCCTGATCCCGGCTGGGCCCTCGGGCTCCTGTCCCTCATCCGGGGTCCCAACCGAGTGTCTCCTAGCTGCTTTCTGTCCACGGGACAGCTCCAGCCCCGTCACACGGTGTGGCCTGGAGCCCCTCTGTCCCTTGTGGGAACCTGTGGGCTCTCCGAGTGGCAACCAAGGGTGGAAAGGCCGACCCCGCTTCGCCTTCTCCTGACTGGGCACTGGGGTGCCTGGCTGACTGGAGTGACCAGGGGATGATGGAGGTTTATGATCAAGGGAACCCCACATGTCTCTGGTCCCTCTGAATTCTGTTTGCAGACTGAGCAGTCTCTCCTCAAGTTTATTTCTTTCTCTCCAGAACAGAAATCAGGCTCCCAGGCTGGCTTTGAACTCCAGATCCTCCTGCCTCTGCCTCCTGAGTGCTGGGATGGCAGGCACGCGCCTCAGGACTTTTCTGTACCACGTCACTGTGAGCAGCATGTTGCCGACTGCCCTGTCACACGACATACCACCTGTCCCGGGTCTCGTTGTGGAGGGTCCTGGTCACTGGGCAGCCACTGACCCCAGCCTGGACCTCCCGCCAGTGCCACCTATGTTAGGTCACTTCCAGCACCGAGGTTCCACTGCTGATGTAGGAGGCTGAGACAGGAGGATCTCAGTGAGTTCAAGGCAGACTGGGCCATCTAGTGAATTCAAGGCTGGCCTGAACGACGCAGTGTAATCCTGTCTCCCAAAAAATTGCATAAATAAAATAATTGAGCACATCCCCATCTTTGGTGAGCGTCACATTCTGGATCCCCCCACCCCATGATCCCCCTCTCCCACCTGCGGCCTGGGGTACGGGGGGACTTGAGGACCAAGTGACTGTGTCTCCTCCCACCGCGCCTTCCTCATGCAAAGCCCATAAAAAGGCGAGGCTTTGTGGGAAATGGGAGCCTCCTGTGCTTTTCCTGCGTCCCACGCCCCGTCACTGTTAACAGCGGGGCCGGACTGTGCCATCTGGTGTCTCACTTGGCCAGTGAGAATTCCGTCTGGGAAGGGCAGCTGCGGCTCCCAGTGCCCCAGTAAGAGGCCACACGGCATAGGGCTCCGCTCCGCGGGAGAGCGCCTGCCTCTTGTGCCCAG